AGTAATTGAACACAGTAGATTATTTAAAAGGAAATGAAATTGAAAAGGAGATGAGATGTATTGAGGTGGAGGTGGAGGGAGGGAATGGGGAATAGATATGAAGAAGATGCTTTATATGGATTTTTTAAGGAATGAATAAAAATTAAACAATACTTATTATTTAATACCAGTGTGGCTTGATAGAGACAATTTGTGACTTCATTTCTTCTTCTAAAGACAAGGATAATGCCTTGTAGGATTAGCAATTTGAGGGATAATCATTAAAATAATGAATGCAAAATGTATGGCATCATGGCTAGCTCATGCTAACTATCTGGGATTGCAGAGAGGGATCACTTGCTAACAGTACTTATTATTCTTAGAGAAGAACTGAGTGCAGCTCTCAGTGCCCATATTAGGTGACTCAAAACCCTGTATGTCACAACCCTCCAGGGGACTTATCACCCTCTTCTGGCCTTCACAGTCACCTGCACTCATGAGTACATATTTCTACACAGACACAAAAGTAATAAAAAAAATAGTGAAAGTAAATCTCCCCACAAAAAAAGAGAGACTATTCTTATCATTATCTCTGAGCACATGGTTCCATAGAACTGTTATTCAGCTCCCATCACAGCACAGCAATGCAGCAGAGCCCAGCTGGGAAAGCCACAGGGGATGAAAACAACTCTATCTGCATTATGTGGATTCCTTCCTAGATTCAAATATGGGTGCCTGTCCTAAAGTACTTTATGGGTCTTTATGGGACTCTGGCAGCTAGGTCATATGAGCTGTTTATTAGGCTATTTTTTATTTCTTCATTCTTCATAGCTGTGTATGGTGGTACCTGCCTTTAATCCCAACCCTTAGGAGGCAGAGGCAGGAAGATTTTTACATATTGGCTCTCAAGTCAGTCAGGAGTATATAATGAAAGCCTTGCTCAAAAACAAAAACAAAAATATTCCTTGTGTCTGATCATGCTGAAATTATATTCATTTATAAAAAAGAGTAATTTGTTGAGTAATGTCACATGATGCATTTGAAAAATAGGAATAGTCTAATAAATTTAAAACAAGTAACGTTCATTTGAAACTGTAGTGATTACAAAACAAATCAGGATGCTTAATGCACAGTCATGTCCATCTATTTTCCAGTAGGTGGCAGACATTGTCAAGAAGTTATAAAAAAGAAAAGAAAGTTCTATGACTTCCAAAGCTGACCAATAGATGTCTCTTTACAACCATGTATCTCTGAGCCCTTGTATAAAATTCAGGCAGGTATAACATTTTCTAGTCTTTCTTGTTAATTTGATAGCATCATCATAATTCTACAAGAAGTGCAAACCAAGCACTGAAGAGATGAGCATGAGGTGAAGTACTACACACATTGTCTCTGTCCAGCAGAAAACAGCCTATTAAAACATACTTCTCAAGTAAAAGACTCCCCATTTAAAGGATTTTGAACACTACTAACCACATGTGCAGGTATTTACTCAACCAATAGCATCCCTGCTAAGTCCAGAGAGACATAGAGTTAGTAGCTATGGGCCTAGTGAATGGTTCCTTATGAATACACAGGAAATTGTGGAAATTACTAACCAGGGATAGCCTGATATCATTTTCATTGGTATTGTTTGTCATTCCAATTTAAATAGACACACACACACACACACACACACACACACACACACACACACACACCACACATCTGGACTTACTGGTATCATTAACGTGATATATTTGTATCTCTGTATGTGTGTGTATGTGTGTTTGTATAAATTTTCTCCATATCCCAAAGATAGTCTTCAGTATGGAGTTCAAAGTATATAACCAGAATCCTTTGATTCCTGTGTGAGTACAGTATTCTGATAAATTTTTATGCTAGAGAATATTTATCTCCAGTTAATTCTAAAGTTAATTAAGCATGTGTAATAAATATGGTTTCACATAGAGAAGCCCAGATATTGGAAGGAAATGTCATTCTGGGGATAGTTTGCTTTATCAAAGACTGAATTAAATAATAAATCAGAAATGAAAATATATGTCCAAATTCACATAGAGATATAAATATGTACAAATCCACAAAGAACACCACACCACTGTCAATGAAGCTTCAGTTAATAAAATTTTGTTTCCATCTAGTAGATTTTTAAATTAATAGTACTTTATGATAATTTCCAGATACTGCAGGCAAACCAAATGACTTTTCATCACTTCACACTCTTCACAGGTATTAACAGCCCAGCCACATGCTGTAGTTCCAAAGAAGTATGGTTCATTTTAGGGATAGGTACAGCACTACATGGAATATCCTACTTCTTTAAGGCCTGGAAATATCACCTAATAATAGATTTACTTCATTTCCTTAATATAACTGGCAGACTCAACCAGTTGTATGTGTGAAGACCTAAGTGTGCACAAAGTGAGTACCAGTTATTCCACTAAAGCATTTCTCTGCTGGAAGAACAGGACTGTCTTTCCTTAACAACAACAACAACAACAACAACAACAACAACAACAAAGCCAGGAAAAAGAAAGACCCCAGAAATCCAGGGAGCATTGTAGGAAAGATTGAAGTCATCCTGGTTAGCTTGTCAAGAAAGTAGGGGAAATTTGAGAATGAGAAAAATGAGATGGCATGAACTTTCTAGAATTCCATCAATCCCAGGAATGAGTTCCATGGAAAACAGCTCAATATTCCCTTCCAGTGGGCATAAGTCTTCAGCCTATAGAGGAGTTCTGAGGCCCACTACAAAAGGTCATGAGGGTTTGTGATTCTTTTTCCTTGGATTACATTTTACAGTTTAAGTTTGAGCCTTCCTTAATTTAACTTACCTGGTATTTCTAGCTTCACTTGGCTGAGGTTCTCTTCCACAAGAAGAATCCCTTTCATAAGTTGGTTCCCTAAGCTGCCTAATTAAGGAACACTAGTTTCTCTCCTACCTAGGACTAATTCCTTGCATTAGCAAAGGCTACTGGTCACTAACCCATCTCTCTCTTCTTTGAATTCAGAATGAAACATTTAAAATATGGTGATGCTATCTAAGCAAAACAAAATCTTTCAGTCAGTGTCCAAAGCCAGTACCCTCACTCAAAGAATTCCAATGTCTGCAGGGATAGCAGAGTCCTCACAGCTGGCCTTAGGTGTGCTTGACTTCCATTACTGCATTTTTACCACATCAGGTTAGTACCAATTGTCCTCTGTTGTGCCTGAGCAGAGCACCTGTTTAATGTGATTTATGTCATCATCCTGTGGACTCTCACCTGCTGACAGTGGAAAAGACCTCACACAATTAGTTCAAACCTGGCTCTGTGTAGTGGCTAGCCTTAAGCACAGTCTGGAGTGCACAGGCTCCTTGCAGAAGTGGGGACATGAACCTTTGCTGTAACCTGTAACTTAGACCCCAGCCCTGGGTCATAGAGCACAAAACTCAGCTGGTTTATGATCTACAGTTCAAATTCAAGGATTCTTTTTGCTTTTGTTTTTCAACCACAGTGAATTATTACTAAATTTTAAATAGATAGCTAGAACTCACTTTAGCAGGTTATTCTGTGTGTTATAATTATTAGTAAATAAGTACTTAAACGTCCCTTAACATTCCCACTTGTCCTGTGGCTTTGTGCTCTCTCAATAATATTGAATCTCTAACAAACGGTGTGTTTGCCAGAAATTAGGTGACAAGGGGAAGGGGAATTCTTGTTCTATAAAGCAGGCGCCTGATTATGAGCAAATCCACTAGGAAGACTCAGACTACAGCTCTGATCCCACTTATGGTAGCCTGGGGAGAAAGTTAATGCATTTTCATGTTGTCCTGTCTCCCGAAGATTCAGTTTCTTAATTCATATAAACTCCTTTCTGTGTTTGACATTTAAACCAGTGACTGTTGGAAGGAGAAAGAGGAATCATTGAAATTAAACCAGGAAGTCTATGGGTTTCCCCCTCCCCCGCCCACACACTCCTGTTTTCTCATCCCCAGATTAAGAAGTTATGCCGCCTGACAATGCACTTTTCTCTTACAAGTCTCGACACCGTCGGTGGTATTCTCTATCCGCTGTTTTCTTCCAGCACCTGTTAGAAAAAAAGTCAGTGGTCTTCAGGGGGATTTGTTTCTCCAGTTTTGTTGGGAAGAGGCAGGATAACATTGAAATACCCAGGTATGGTGAAAACTGCAATTTTAAAATGAGTCACTTCAGAGCGTTTTTAGACCTATTCCTATATGCAAATGCAAGTGATTGACTGCCTACTGGACTGCCTAAGCTGTCAGTCAGGTAATTTGCAAAGCAACCCCTTTTCATCTTTTAAGGCAAACCAGGAAAGTGACAGGGAGCTTGGGTGGGGCTGGGTATTGAAGATTCCTACCAGAGAAAACACCACTAAATAAAAGCACATACTATTTAAGAATTAATGTAAATTGTAAAGATTCTCAAATGCTTTTTTCTTTCACTAAAACACGGTGTGGTACAAAGGGAGGAAGTCTTGTTCACATGTCTGCATGAGAACTTTTCATTCTTCTCCTAGAGTTCGCCTATTGTCTGCCCAAACCTTCCCTTTTATCTTTGCACTCTTCCAGTTCCTGGGATAGGCTGCAAGGCATTCCTTTCAAGAGGCTAATGCAGCCGACCAGTAAGTTAACCTCCCGGCATGCGGTCCTGGAGCTGGCCAGACCTGCCTCGGCGGTTGCCGGGTGCCTACACCTCCCTTTTCCTAAAAATCCGAGCCATCATAGGCCCGTGTGCAAATAAACCCGCTCCAAGTGCTACTTCCAAATATAGGCTCTCCAGCCACCAGAGGCTGTGAGGTCCCGAGGGCGGCCCTTCCTTCCCGCCCACTCAGCGTTCGGCAAGGCCCACATCTGGAAGCCAAGTCGTCCACAGTCAGCTCGCGGGAACGCCTTCCCGCAATGCTCAAGAACCTAAATTTCCTCTTTTGAAAACATTTAAGGTATTTTGGGCCTCCCCTGAAACGCCTTAAACAGCCCATTTTGAACCAGAATACTTTAGTCTGACAACAGATTCTTCCTCTGTTCACAGCTGTCCCAGAAGGAGGAGCTGAAATCCGAACCTCTCGACTGTGATTGGATGTTTCTAGTAAAAGCCAGGGAGAAATCCCCTCCCAGCCCAGAAGAGCTCAGTCGGGCAGAGAGCCGGGTGACTTCAGAGGCGCCCGCCTGTCCCCCGCCGCACCTGAGCCGCTGCGATGCTGTAGGACCGCCGCCTGGACCGTTATCCGCCCGCACCGGCCCGCCGCCACCATGCCGCGCTCCTTCCTCGTCAAGAAACATTTCAATGCCTCCAAGAAGCCCAACTACAGCGAACTGGACACACACACAGGTAAAAATACTCCCTGCAAATCTGTGTGCGACTGAACCTCGATTCCACTGCTTTACTCTGCACACACTGGGGTGCTTTCCTTTCAATGTTGTCCTAAAACAGTTCTTACAGTCTCTGGGTTATCTAGAGTAAGTTTTAATTCAAAACTTTTGAGCTCTTTACTTACAAGGAAAGCCTCTTTCCGGTCCTGCAGTGTGGTTCTCAGAGGCGGTGTACATGCATAATGAGTGCACCGAGGTGAGCGCACCCTTCCCGGAGGGTGAGCTGTTGTTACCTTGGGGAGCCAGGAACTTGGGAAAGCAGCTGGATTCTTGCATGCCATTGCCCCCACAGTCAAGGCACGTGTAGAATAGACCATGCATAAAATGGAAAGGAATTCTATAGAAAGTTTTAAAATGGTGTCTAGTTCTTTCTAAATGTGGACAGTAAGGCTCGTCCAGAATGTCCATTAGGAAGAGCAAGGGCACCTGTCAACTTGCACAAGGACGTTAAGCCCAGATGAAGGGAATGTTTCATCTTTATGTGTGTCCTTGTGAGCGAGTCTGTCTTCACTATGGAGTCTTGTATGGGTTGTTATGTGCTGTCTCAGACTGTGTACATATATGTTAAAAAATATTTTACCATAATTTTCTTTACTTTTTCCCCTTTTCTCTTTCCTAGTGATCATTTCCCCGTATCTCTATGAGAGTTACCCCATGCCTGTCATACCAAAACCAGAGATCCTCAGCTCAGGAGCATACAGCCCTATTACTATGTGGACATCGGCAGCTCCATTCCACTCCCCTCTACCCAGTGGTCTTTCTCCTCTTACTGGATACTCCTCACCCTTGGGGCGAGTAAGCCCTCCTCCTCCATCTGATACTTCATCCAAGGACCACAGTGGTTCAGAAAGTCCCATTAGTGATGAAGAGGAAAGACTGCAATCCAAGCTCTCAGACCCACATGCCACTGAAGCTGAGAAGTTTCAGTGCAATTTATGCAATAAGACCTATTCTACTTTCTCTGGGCTGGCCAAACATAAGCAGCTGCATTGTGATGCCCAGTCTAGGAAATCTTTCAGCTGCAAATACTGTGACAAGGAATATGTGAGCCTGGGTGCCCTTAAGATGCACATTCGGACCCACACACTGCCTTGTGTCTGCAAGATCTGTGGCAAGGCTTTCTCCAGACCCTGGCTGCTCCAAGGACACATTAGAACTCACACAGGTAAGAAAAATGTAGAAAACAATGCCTCTCTGCTCAAACAATGGTGTGTTGGGGCTGTCTGTGGGGTGCCTTCAGGTAGTGACAGGGGGTGCTTTGCATAGGATGAACCACTGGTAGCTGCTTCCTGGCTGCTCAAAAGCTTGTTAGAGCAGCAAATGCTCCATTCCTTGCTAACAGCTTCTGTTCCAGAGACTGTAAACAGCATTTAGACTTTGGAAAGTACATGCAAGAGGTTTGGTCTCAAAGATCAGTTAGAAAGCAGGAGCCAGGTACTTGATGTGTGTTCTGCAGAACTGCCTCTGGCAGTCAGCAAATACAAGTGCCTGGATCCTACTGTTGATTTGATAAACAAAGAGGTTTCCCATAGTTTTTGGCTATATCTTCACTGTGAAATCTGTCAACTCTTAACTAGTTAAGTAAATGGAAATGAATTTGATCTATTTTGTTTTTCTATTTGTTGTTCTTGGGTTTTGTGTTGTTATTTCACTTTCTAGCTGCTGAAATTTTTTTAAATCCTTAGCACAAAAGCATATGCAGGGAGTCATGGCATTTATAGAGCCTTAGTCATCACACAGAAAGAGGATAAATATTGGGAATGTGGGGAGCTTCTCATCCTACCTGCACCTGTTGAAGCAGAAACCCTTATCAAGAGAAAGCCATTTAACTCTGAATTACTTCTGGATATCTGGCAGAACTGAAGCTATTTGGCTGGTATTTTTAAAGGAAATTTTGCTTTAAAAGGCCTGACAGGAATATAACTACCTACCATGGGGGGGGATATAATCAGGCTAGACTAATTCTTATTCTTTTGATAAACTACTGTTGATGTTCATTAATGTTATTTAACTTTGTGTCCTGTAAAAACACTGACTGTCTTTTTTTTCTTACCCTCCCCTCCCACCCCCCCAAACCAGGGGAAAAGCCTTTCTCTTGCCCTCATTGCAACAGAGCTTTTGCAGACAGGTCAAACCTGAGGGCACATCTGCAGACCCACTCTGATGTAAAGAAATACCAGTGCAAAAACTGCTCCAAAACCTTCTCCAGAATGTCTCTTCTGCACAAGCATGAGGAGTCTGGCTGCTGTGTGGCACACTGAGTGGCGTAACCAGTGTTTACTCGAACAGAATACATTTCATCACTCCAATGACAAATGAAAGTCCAAAGCCATTTTCTCTTGTGCTTACCTACCAAATAATATGTACAGAATGTACAGACACATACAAGAGTCTCTCTCATACATACACGCATGAGCGCACGCACGCGCGCGCGCGCGCGCGCACACACAAACACACACACACACACACACACACACACACACACGAAACTACAGAACAGAATCTATATGCTTAAAATTAATCCTTTCTATGTGAAATTTAAAGTTGTATTTACTGACAGCTAGATTGAAAGGCTAAAAGACAAGAACCATTCTCTTTAAAGATGAAGTGAAAAGCACATTGCATCTTTTCTTACTAAGAAAGAATGTGGAGATTTACATTGCTGCCAAACCATTTCAACTAAAAGGAACAGTATTGCTTCGTAATAGAGCTCTAATAGTGTTTCCAAGAGGAAGAGAGTCTGCCAGATGCTATCTCAGGTGCCTTATAAAATACTCCAAGTTTACTTCCTTACATGTCGGATGTCTGGTTGTCATCGGTGAATGAAAGCTTTTTCTGGATTACCTACAATGCTTTAAACTCTATTGTTAAGAGAAAAAAAAAATGAGAAAAAGAACAGAACACAAGAGAATGTATTAAAATATTCTTGTTTTGTTTCATTTTTGCCATGTGTGCCTTGGAAGAGGAGGAAAGGACAAGCTTCAAACATTCCTGGTGCGTGTGCCATGTCTTACTTTTTAAAAGAATCTTAGTGATTTATAAGACAATGTAATGAATAAGACATTATAATGCAAGAGAGCATCTTAGACATTCAGTAATGTACTTACACTTTTGAAAATGCATATGATGGATGCAATAATACAATGCCCCTCCAAGTGCCTGTTTTAATGAATTGTGTAGTTGATGTAAATTTGTGTTTATTTTTATATGACTGAATGAACTCTGTGTGAAAGTGAGGTGTGGTCTATAACTGTGCCTATATACAACCTGAATACTTGTGAAATCAATGTTCCTTTTTTAAAAAGTAACTTTCAAGGTCTTTTTTTTACAATAAACATTTTTGCTTTAAAATTTATTGCTCATATACTACTTTCAAAAACCTCATTTGTTTTAATATCAAATACTATAGTAAAATTTATTTTTGTGTTAAGAGAGAAAACATAAATGGTATTTTTATACATATAAAGTATCAATTTATTATGTTAGATTATAGTAAACTGCCTTTTTAAAATAACTCTTAAAGTACTATTACATTCAGAAAAGAAAGTAACATGAGGTAGCTTGTTGGCAAGTTTCTAGGGCAATAAATGCTCGTGTTAATAGTCAAAAACACTTTTCAAAATATTCTGTTAGTTTTACTGACTTTATGAAAACAAATTTAATCATTTTTGTCTTTTCATATGCCACTGACATAGTTTAAAAATTTTAAAGGAAATATTATTTAATGAGATAAGAGAGAGAAACATAAAGTCCACATGATAGAAAATAGAGTTATCATAAGTAATACACATTGGAAAAATTAAACCATGTAAACAAAAGCCCATTGGTAGTGATGTAGGTAATAAATATGGTGGCCTTAGGGTTAAACTAAAACACTGTATGGTATGATCAAGCTGAGCAATCTTCCACCCAAGCCCAGGATATATTTCATAAAATATTATCTAATCATATATTCCATATTCAAAATCATGTTATCTAAATGGATATGTTAGTTTTCTAACTATGATGAAACACACTAGGTACCAGAGCATATGTGAACCCAAAGTTGAAGGCTGTTGCTAAGTAGGTCTCCTTGCTATTAACTGACCATTTCTCTCTAGTATGATCAGAAGTTGTAAAATCATCTTTTTCTTTTGATGCTTTTATGATATAAGCAAAAGCTGGTATTATTATCCCAAAAGAACCAACACTAAATGCTTGGCCAGTGCTTTCCCTACTGGGTATTTTACATTTACATTTTAGCTCATATATACAGCAATTTTGTATTTGATGAAAAAATGCCAGTTTGAATATTGTACTTTTAAATTGTTTGGATATCTCAGGCCGTAGTTCTCAGAGTCAAAATTATCTGGCATAATAGTTTATAGGTGTGAAAGCAATGGACTATCATTTTGCTAGAGCATTATAAAGTTGTTTTTAAAAGCCAACTGAATAATGTATATCTGGAAAAGAAATATTGCAGTAGTAATTGGAGAGTCTCCAGCACAGCTAACATGAGGACTGTCTTGTAAAGGGAAAAGCTGAGTCCAGTCTTTGTGAAAGTTTTGGTGGCTACCTCAGGAGCCACAATTACTCCCATTTCCCTCTCTCACTGGTTAGAGCTGCAGGCAAAGTTTCTTGGTGTCAAAATTTAAGCAACTACCTTTCCAAATGGAAACATCTGTTTATTACTTTAATTCCTCAATGAAATAATAATACATTTTTCAATGTATTCCCACTATTCTAATTTCATTTTTAATTTAAATATTACAGTTTTAAAAAAAATCATGGGTCAGAAGGTACAGTGGATATTAGGACAATCTTTAAATATGCCTGAATTTGTACCTATGGCTTTGATGTATATCTGCCCTTCTGCATCCACAAAGCTTTGGAAATGTTATTCCATTCATGCCATGACATTTACTGAGTCACAAGCTTTGGTGGTTATTTTCCCTTTTTTACTATATGGGCCATTGTCAGTGTGGAAGTTCCCAGTGCTCAGCATAGCACTAGCACAGCATTTTAATAAATATTAAATGAATTGATTGAAAAAGCAACAGAATTGATAGAAAAGCTTACAGACTCGAAAGAAAGTCAATATATCTCCTCATTACTGCAGTTATGATAATTTTCAAGAAAATTCCTGCCCCCATTCACTCTATATCCTTATGCAAGTTTGGGATCACACTGTGCCCTAATTTCCTAAGGCACAAAATAGGAACAGAGTCTCAGTACTGCAGAAAAAGAACTGAAAATCCCTACTGCTGTTATTTAATGCTTACTGTATGTGTATTAATATGTGTGTAGTACATACTGATGCCGTGTAGAACATACAATTGTACATATGATTTGCCATGATAATAACAGAAGTTATTGCTATTTCACCAATATAGGTACAAAATGCAGGCTGAAAATGGGACCAAGGTAGCAAAGGAGACAAGCTGCAGAACAAAAAACTGTACCTAGACTTTTTCCCTCTAAGTTTCCATGTTTTCCACACCATGAAAATATGGAAACTTGCTCACCTATACTTAACATTGTGAAATTTATACATCATGGGTCTTGGTTACAAGCTTGGCAAGAAAGACAACAATAATGTTTGTTGCACTTGTTAATGCTATACTTAGAAGATATCACAATTCAGGAACTATACTACAGATATCTGCACTCTTCAGAAGTCTATCTCATGTTGTAGACATCCTGTTGGCTCCTCCTGCTCCAGCCTGGGCCCTCCTTGCTAACCCTACAGCTACTCAGGCTGACTCTGAATGGGAGCCCATTTCCTCTGGCTTATTCTCTGTGGAGATGAAATGCAGCTGCTCTCCATCCTCTGTATATTAACACTTCATCTTCTGAAGGCCATTGCTGCTCCCTCCCACACCCACACTTCTCATCCTGCTTTTATCTTTTCAAATAAAAAGTCTTCCAAGCTAAACAGCCATTTCTTACCCCACTAAAATGTGGATACTTTGGTGTAATGAGACAATCAGAATTTTGAAAAATATAAGGCTTTCCTGGATAACAGCTACATCATGGAAGTTGCCCCTATTTATATCTAAGAAACATTTTAACAAAATTAATTTGAGATTCAGTATTCTGACATCTAGGGAAGAACTAATTTTCAAATCAGATTATTTTCTGTCATAGAGGACATTGGGACTGCAACATCTCCTTTATCTAACTAAGATAGCTGCATGAGGGATACTTTGAAATCCTATTCTTAGCAGTAAATGTGCAAGATCTAGCAGTACAGGAGGGAATGGCTAGTGAGTAGTGGGCCCAGGTCCTTAACCCTCCAGGAAGCAATCATTCCTGTGAGGAAAGCACATGTACAGATCAGCAAGTATGGCAGCTTTTCCTTTGTGGCACCAGGCCAGACTCCTGAACAATGAGAGATTAGCAGAGGAAATGGCAGCATATCCATGTCCTCTGACTCCAAAGGGAACAGGGTGGGTATTTATAGCAGGGGCAGGAGAGCTGCTCTGAGGGAAAGCAGGGATATTTGATCATTGTGAAACAATTCATTTCATTAAGCTTCATTTGTTGTAACAGTTGAATCCATTCAGCTTATTCTTGTGAAACAAGAAACTATGGAAATAGTTAGGAAGTCCTTTAAATTGTCCCTAAGTAGTTTTCCTTGACAACATAAAGATAAAGGTCTGGTACTTGTTTGCTTCAGCAGCTGGGATGTTGGAGAGGATGTGATTCTGTCTCCTGGTTCATTCTTGGGACTTGAGTCAAGTGCCTTTCAGGTATGGAGCAGCAGCAGACTTACTGAAACATTCAGTCAATGCTAAGAAATGAAAAGGGAAGTTCCAGCTGAATAAAACAGTGACAACTTCTCTTGCCAAAGGCAATTAATGCAGTTCTATTTCTCCTAAGTTCCGACTTCACTCCATATAGACATACAGATGTAACGAGGTATAGGAATTCTTGTATTGTGTTAAAATATTTCCCCCAAAGAATTAGCAGAAAGGCCAGCACAAAAGGTGCTTACCTCTTTCTGTACCTGGATTGCTAAACTGTGCAGTCTGTGGTCCTGTCTGCTCAGGGCCAGTGCTTCAGGGATTTCAGCGTGCCCTATCCTCCATGGGTTGCTAATCTCCTGCCAACTGACTCTGAGGGCCTGAGAGTCTGCATTTCTACCCCAGATGACGCCCCCCCTGCAGAGGACAGATCATATCTGATCATATCTGCACCCAGGAGGGAACCGACCTTCAAGCCCAGGTCCAGGCCCTGGCTTCTTGGGCAACTATAGTTGTAGTTGTATAGTTGTAGTCAAAATGGCCACTGGGAGAATGGCAGAACACAAGTGGAATCTAGAAAGTGCCTTTGCTCCATGTGTGCCTAAGTGGGAGGAGGGAGGCAAGAATGAATAGATTTCCACCAATGCCAACTCTCTTCTTTTCCTGCCTTCTCTGCTTCCCTAATAACCGGCAACACCACAATTCCTGATTTATCACTCTTCTGTTGAGGAAACCAGGGATTCAACCATACCAAAATTGTTTTTGTGAAAAACTACCTCAATATTGAATATAGAAATATTTTAATAATTGTTTCCTAAATAATAAAGTAAAAGTTTTTTACATTGTTTCTATTATATTAGACATTGTAAGTGATTGAGAAAAAATTTACACTATACACAAGAGTTAGTGGCCTGTGTGCGAACACTATTTTTTGAGAGCCTTGAACATCTCTGGATTTGGCACTAGAGGGTCTTGGAAGGAGGCCCCTGTGGATTCTGAGGGACCCTGCAGCAGATTGAAAAGACTGACTTTTGGTTCTGAGTTTACTCTAATTTCTCTTGTACTGGAGTCCTGCCAAGCCTTAGATGATTTAACGGGGGTGGGGTGGGAGGGTGGAGGGATGTCATACCAGTTCCTACTAGTTTACTAACAACTGGGAAAGCTGGTTGGCTTAGTACTCAGCATGAGGCCTCTAAGTGGATTCTCTCATGAAAGCTTAGGAACCACATGTAACTATGCCATGAACCATGAGCAGAGAGGCTCTGGTCTGCTTGTCAGTACGTGCACTGGTCAGGCTCCCTCACACGCACCATCTCAGGCCTTCTACTGCTGGTCCCAGACAAATTTCTGTACCAAAACTTGGGATGAAGGTACCTCACACACCATTTGGAGGTTTCCAGTTATGGTCTCAAAAAAAGTATCCTCTGGACTTTTTCTAGGAGAGTCTGTGGACATCTCTCCTGAGTAAGTTTCATGGTTCTCTTGATTGATCTCTATTATCTTTTTTTAATGTTTGTCATGTTACCAAGTGGGTAGTATCTGGTGTATTTTTCTCCATATCTTGGTATACTATTATTTACTTAATCTTATTTTACTCCTTTATTAGTTAGTACAAGAAATTGCAAATAGG